TTCATACCTCATTTTTATACTTTCCTGCTGGATTGTTAAGATCAAGATAAAGCAAGACCTATATAACAAGAAATGTAGCTTTTGTATCTGATAAGGTCAGGCAAGTCCCCCCAGGATTTATCCTGAAACCCTGTTCCGCAGTTTGCAGATCCTTTGTCAGTGTCAGCCATGTGGACGAGTCACGGCCATTGCTTGGCCGATTTGCTCTCTGTGAAAGCCTGAGAGATGTTTTCTCTCCATGTGACTCTCCTTAGGCACACTCTACATCACCGATCACATTGCTCTGTGGATCTCGTGAACAAATTGCTTAACTTTTTAGTTTTCTTACAGATGAAATTTGTGAAATAATATGTGGTTTTGATGGATGTTGAAAGGTTTCAATGAGAACATTCATATAAAATAGTTCACATTTCACACATCTTTTAAGGACCTAATGATGACAGCTATTGTTACCTATCAATTCTTATAATAAATTTGCAATTCCTGAATTATTGTGTCAGTGTTATATCTTAGCGCTGAAACTTTAACTTTTTCATGTAGTTATAGAGAAAGAATAACATCTTATCCCTACAAAAATAACAGAAAGATGAATTTTTCAGAACCAGAAAAATTCAAAGTAGAGACATACTTGGAATGGGTAAGAAATGTTAAAGTCTGTGTTGTTACCTGATATTCAAACGCTTCATTCCATTTACCATCTTGGTTTCTAAGTATGTAGAAGCTATAAAATTAATGTGTTTCTAATTAGGCCTATGCATCTTTATTTAAACTTATAATGTGCATTTCAGTGGAGTGTGTCTCTTGACCACTATTTTTATTGATTTGAGATAATAAGCCCCAAATACACATTTTTTAAAACTAATTGAAAAAATCGTTTGTTCATGGCCTTATTCCCTTCCAAATTTTATTAGAATTATATTCTGATTCCAGGACACATGAATAAAATTTTGTTAACATCATCCGCTGAAATTTTCAGTGAAGTAGTGTGAGTGGTGACTTAGGCATAGAGTGACGTATTTAGGACCACATTAGGGTTGTCCTAAGGCATTTATTTTGGGAAAGCATTTCATGTTAGCACCAAAACATTAACTGCAATGACTGTATAAGTATTTACCCAAACTAAATCCCATCTGTAAAGGCTCTTAAAAATTTGTGAAGCCTGGTTTTAAAACATCAGGTCAAATTACAGTGGTCCCAAAATATATCTTACTCTATATCCTTGTGGGCAACTTACTTTCATCTCCTGTTTCAAATTCAAACTTCTGACTGTAGCCACTGTATCCTGTTGCGGTCCTCACTCGGATGTGGAATATGTATGTGGTGGCTGGCTTGAGACCCGTGACGATGACACTGGGGGCCTTGGACCTCGTGGAGGAGTAGGTGAGCTGCTCGTGCTCCTGGGAAACAGAAAGGAAGAGAAAGGATGTGAATGCAGTCGTGGGAGCCTACCTTTTCCTAGAGATATTCCAAGGTGAAGCTGAGGAATTATGTGCCGAGTATCAAAAGTATTCATTAGCAGAGACCATAAGCTTGTCTTTACATAGTTTGGCACTGAGTTGCTTAGCACTGTGATGCATACGACATGATCCTACTTGGGAAATTTGCTAGGGAAGATGATTGTCTTTATTAAACTTATGTGGACTACACCTCTTCTACTGTTGATGATTGATATGCTGTGATCAAAAATTTGGTGAACACTTCAATTAAAAATTATCATAATGAAAGTCATATTGCCTTTCTCTCAAAATAGTGCTTCTCATTTGGACACACATATCCCATCTTTGCTACTTTCTACAGCAGTTCTACAGGTCCCCTTTTGTGTCTTAAGTTGCATTATTATGGCCACATGGATGTCCTACAATAATTCAAAGCATTTACGTTTCACGGTCATTTTGATTTTGGAGAAGAATCGTAAGGTTAATGGTGCCAAACCTGTGGGTGAAGGCACACCGTGCTGATCTCATGGTCCTTCCTTGCCACTGGATAGCACTTGGCAACATCGAATCCAAATTTTAATTTTTTTTTAAAAAATGACATCTTCTAATGACGTAAAGTAAGACAACTTCCAGAACTGCTTCAGAAAATGGCAAGAACTACAGAATAAGTGTGCTCAATATGAGTGGGAGTTTGAAGGAGATGAATGACAAGGTGCCTTTCACTGAAATACATTTTTAAGATTTGAACATTCACTGGTTAGTCTAATCACATCTCATAGACTTCTACCCAACTCTAAGGAATAGAGGGCATGGGAGCACATTTACACAGAACGCAGCTACATCTTGAACAATATGGCGCATCAGATCAGACCACACCAGCAGAGTGCAGGGAGCAAAGTTGGAGGATTCAAGTACCCGCTACTCACTTCTACCCGCAGGTAGTGCCAAAATGCCGGCGCTATCCGGGGGTAGACCTGTAGGTGAAAGAAAAAATAAATTAATTGCTTTTTAAAGTTTGAAATCTTTTATCCTGAAATGAAGTACTTTGATCTTTAGATCAGTGTTTCTCCCAGTAGGTATAATGGACATTGAGTCAATTTTAAGAAATAAAATGATAGTTTTTCTTTGTTGGAGAACGGACTCTTCCCTGGGTAGCATAGTTTATTTTTTACAAGTTACGTAGTGCAAGCCACATAGTGATTGTAAGATAGATTTTAAAATAGGCTGCTCCTAAAAGAGAGCTAAAGACACAGGATAGTATGAGAGACAAGCCACCTCTACAGAATCAGATGCAGGCCCACGCTGTGGCTCCTGCGTGCCTAGCAATACGGTAACTGTCATCCTACTTCCTTTGACTAAGGTAGGCAGATCTTCAGAGCATTCCCAGAGATCTAGTGAGCTGGGGCTGTCATGTGGGCTTGACTTTTCCTGTATTCATAAGACTGACCACAAAGTACTGATGGTGGGAATAAATTCCTTCATAATGGGTAACTGAAAAATATTATGCAGCTTGAGAATCTCCAGTTGCAGAATATGAAACTGCAATCTGAAATGCTCAAAAGGAGACTTTCTGAGGGCCAACTCAGTGTCACATGTGGAAGATTTCACAATGGCCTCACATGTTGTGTCAGGCAGAGCACTGGTGCATGAGAACTATTGTGTGAAATGACCTTCAGTCTATGTGCAGAAAGCACATGGGACACTTCAATGAATTTTGTGCCCAGGCTCGGATCCTATTCCTGAGATAACTCATGTATATGCAAATATTTCAAACTCCTAAGGAATAGCAAACCTTGAAAAAATTTCTGGTCACAGCAATTTTGCACAAGGGATAGTCAACTCGTATGTGTGTGAAAACCTCTCTGGGTTCTCATGTCAAGCAACCTTCACAGGTCCTTAGGTTAATTTCTATTTTTTTCACTGGAAATTGAATAGTACAAATTTTCAGGGATAAAAGTAACTTTCAAATTCACCAATTACATCACTCATTTGATACTTAAACTATGTATTATATTCTTATCAATATTTTGAGAGAAATGTGAGGGGGAAAGGGAAAAAGTGGGAAGGAGACTGAAAATGATCAGAATATATCTAAAATAGATGTAGATATATCATGTACTATAAATGTATGCCAGTGTAGAACAAGATGGTTTGCCTTGTCACCATTGTTGTGGAGGAGAATTTTCTGACTGAGTTATAAAGATCTGTGCATTCAGATAATGCTCCAAGCTCCATGGATTTGTTGGTGATGCTTTAAGATTTAGAACTAAGAAAATCATCTCCCTTAAGCTACTTTTGAGAAAAAAGTTCTTATCTTAAGGATAATTTTTAAACTTTATGGCCTTAATTGTCAGAATTTTATATGCTTTATAGTGATTTTGCACGTAAGGAATTTAATTTGCCTTCTCTTCCCCAAATAAGATTATTTATTAAAGATGAAGTAAAGTGTTAATGATAGCAATTAGTCTAAGTTAAATAGAAAAAATAGAAAAAGTGAAAAATAGGAAAATTGCAATTTTAAATTACTTTTGAGTTTACAAAGCAAATAAATATTTATCCACCTAGCATAAAACACAAGGAAATAAAGTTAATAAATCATTGATGGCTGTAACCATCAGCTAAGGGTTGAAAGCAGGGGCTTACTAATAACAAAGACCTTATAATTAAGATTGTTATATAGTCATGTTAGAGTCGAATTGTTTATCGACTACTAGAATAAATAATAACATTTCTAGTAGAATTCTACAGAACATGTGAAGTTCTCCATCTTATATACAAAAGGAGATTGTTCTATCTTTCATACAATTTTTTAGCATGAGAGTTATGGTGTGCTATAAACTGTTATGAGTGTTGTTTTACAATACGAAGCAATGAATGAGAGAGCAATTGTTAAACAATGAAAACAGAATTGATTTTTATCCCTCAAATAATAAAGTACAGATTCAGATGTTTACTCTTAAAATGATCCCATAATAATTAATAATTTCACGTTCGTGGTTTAACCAAAACACAGATAAACAGTAATTTGCTACTCAGGAAAGTTATGGGGAAGAAAGAGCACTTTTAATAGGAAGTCTTCGCTTTTCTGCTCTTGTACATACAAGAGCCTTCACAGCTGCATCCCTGAAATAAGAACCCTCAAGCAGTGTGATTAAACAGCTCCTCAGCTGGCTCACTCAGCAGTGCAGCAGCTGATGCCGTGTCTTAGGTCTTGCCGCACGCTAGCCTGTCCCGGAAGAAGGCTTGGAAAGAAGCAGTCTTGAGTTCCTTGCACAGCACAGTAGCAGCACCTGTTCCTCCCGGTACTTTTAACCTGTCGGAAAATCAAGTTGGCTTTCATCTGTGACAGGTATAGGACACTGTTATCTGAGAACTTTGACTGCTTGACTCTCTGCTGACACTTCAGCTTCAATTCAAAGTACCTGTCACAACATAAAGGCCATCTTCACACTGAGCTTTCTAGATCTTTTTATCTACCTTGGCAGTCTGAATTCTGAATGTATGTGAACAAACTATGTGTATAGTTTTTTGGAGTCTGTACCCTAAGTCTGCATTCTAATGGCACATCTATTTGGATGATATGTGTATTCATCCAGTTTCCTCCTCTTGGGATGAAATACATGGCTCCTGAAACTTAAAGGAGAGGACTTCAGCTCATGGATTCAGGAGGACAGGTCGCAAATGGTTTGGCTTCAAAGAAGAAATGGCCTCAGCTTCTAGCAGTGAGGAAATAAGAAAGACGGAAGAGACGAGAGCACACTCTTCCACAACGCCTTGGTCCTCTCCAGCCAGCCCCCGGTCCTACCAACACATTCAGTCACCGAGTTTATCAGGGGATGAGCCCACCGATGAGTGTAGTGTCCCCACAGTCCAATCACCTTCCATACACATGAGACTTTTGTGCAACATTTTAGGTCTAACCGATCATTCTCCGACTCTGGTCCTCCAAAACAATGTTCATCTTATACAAAGTGCATTTAGTCCATTTTTAAGAGTCACCAATCCTAACAGTTCCAACATTTTTGAAAAGTCTATTTCCAAAATCTCCTCTGAGGTCAAGTTGAATTCTTAGCTGTGAGCTCCCAAAAACATAAAAAAGTTCAATATTCCCAACGTACAGAGTAAACATCGTGGTTCCCACGTTGAGAACAGAAAAAATGGAGGTGGAGTACGACAAAACCCACGATGACAAGATTAAGTCCTATAGCCCCGAGTCCAGCATCTTGGGCATGTTTTGGTAAGACATAAATTCCAAAGGATTGAGCTGACCAGCCTCCATAGGTAGTCATTGCCACCCCATCGCTTTTCTCCTGAGATGACCCTTTGCTGTGTGAAGCTTTCTGAGGAGACCCTTCATGTCCCGCACATCCACACACTCCTGGGGTCTCTGCCCCACCTTTGGCTTCAGTCTTTTAGCACTGCACTCTTAGGAACACACTGCCTCTGGCCGGAAACTTAAGTGAAAGCTTGCATGACCCTACAAGATCAGCCTAAAAGCAGCCAGCAACACCCATGCCACACCCCGGAGGCTGGGTTGCCTTGAAATTTCCTGCACAAAACATTTAGTCTACTGCTTTTAATATCAGGTTTTCAAAAACTCCTGGGACATAGGTAAAATTTAGGTAATTTTTCTGCCACAGCACAATAGAGATGCTTGGAGTCCAACAGCCCGTGGAATCTGTTCCCAACTGAAACCTCCTGAGCTTGTTCTTTGCTGTTTCCATTCCTGCAGCATCCTCCTCTTCTGCCCAGGACCAGCACTGCACATCAAGCAGTGCCCACAGCATTCCAGCTGTACTGCCACGTGTTCCCTAACGCCTTCCATAAAACAGCTGCAGGAGTTTCTGGCCTACATGGTTAAGGACAGTCACAGGGACCACACATCTCTCAGAACCAATTTTTTTTTTCTAGTACTGGGGATTGAACTCAGGACCTTGCTCTTGCCAGGCAGGTGCATACTA